TAACAACAATATATATAATAAGTAAATAATATATTTATTATATATATATATATATATATATATATATAAAGTAACAAATTAGAAAAATAATAATTATTTAAATTACAATAATTTATAAATGTAAATAAGAGAGCTCATATAATTCAATAAAATTAACGATTTCTTAAAAATTTGATCAGATTTTAATAAATAACATAATGTAAGTTATCGTAACTAAATAAAAAAGTGAATAATACAACAGAAAGAAACGCAAATAAAGAATATACCTGCGTCACACGAATGACGTGAGCCAATTTGAACACCATACCGACATAAACTTTGCGAATCTTTTGTTTTCTATAATTACATACCGAATAAACGAGAATCGACTATTAACTTTAAACGTCGCTGTTTTCCTTTGGCAAAGCCGTCACGGTCTTCGGAGAGCCGTGCGAGCGGCAAATCGAAGCACCCAACTGCAAGACGGAAACATTGTTCGACCACAATTGTGAGCCGCAACGTCGAGACATCGATGTACAATCGAGGTGCGCAGTGAGGATGTTCGAGAGAGGATTGGACAAGCCGAGCTCGTATCGCGTGTTGCCTATAAGCTAGCGTTCGATAGAGGCTTAGAGCCTCTGTTTCTCCCTTTCCCCTCCCCCCTCCTTTCTCTGCTCCTCTCTCTTTCCCCTACCCGCTTCAATCATTGATAGTCGATAGTCGATAGACGATAAAACACTATACAGCTCGCGGTTAAATATTCGCATGGCAATAAGGATAATAATAAACGGTCCGTATTGATACAGTTTGTAAATGAATCTCGATGAGAAATTGTATACATTATATACGAGATACCCTAATGAATTACTCAATCTGTAAAATATTCTTGCAAACTGCAAGAAACTTTCAAAATTAACGATAAAGATTTATTACACCATGATGTTCTACATAATCGTATGATAATATAATATTTTCGTTTTCGAAATAAATTCATTAAATTTTGCAAAACTTGCAAGCTTGCATTCTTAATCAAGTTAATCAAGTTAATCATTACAAAAATATGAATATAATCAAAATCAAATTCGCGTATTCAAATATTTATTTAAATTTTGCAATTAAATTCTAAAGAAAGAGAAAAGATATTTAATTATGGATAATATTCACAAATTTGTAAATGTAGCACATTATATTTGACTTCATTTAAAATAATATAAAACTAATATTTCTTAATAATTGAAATGTTACCAAAAAATCCAGATCATCATTAACAAATTCAAACAGACTTAAAAAAATGTAGTGGTGAGAAGAGTAGTGGTCTGCGCCGGTAGGGATGAAAATAGTATGATGAGAAGGGGTAGAAGAGGGTGGATATTCAATTTGCAAGTGCCGGTTCCGCTTCGAGCTGACATTTCGCTCATTGCTCCCCCGAGGACCGACGATCGAAGCCTCGTTCTTCCAGACCGTGAATAAATGGCCTGCTAAACGGTATCCTAAAAAAGCATCCCTTCTCCTCCAGCCTCTCTATTTTTCTTTTGACTGAATTATAATGTATTGTTCCGCTAATTCCGCGGCACATTCTCGTTTTAACGGTTAATTGACCGCAATGTCATTTCATGTATCGCAAAAAAAGAGATCTAGAGAAGATGTAAAATAAAAGGGAAAAGAAAGGAGAAACAGGTAGGACGGCGTTCAGGAATGTGCATGATACGTGCAAATGACGATCGCAGAAATGTGGGAGGATTACTGAGCCAAGCGTAACTGTCGTGGAATCTGAGAGTCCGAGGAATCGATAAGAATTAGATTAACTGTCACGACGCGATAATCTCAAGTTAGTCGTGCAAAAGCGAGCTTATCAGCGAGAAAAGGTGGATGGCAATATTTCAATGATAATACACCGCGAGGCTTTCGTGGTTAATAGATAACGCCGACTACTTTGCGTGTTTACCGTGATAAGAGAGGAGCATAAGATAACAAATGATGTAAGGAGAAGAAAATGGTATACCGTTATATGCAAAATCTTCCAAAGAAAAGAAAAAAAATCTTAAAAATGTCAAAGGTTTCAGAAGTTAAGGTTGATTGAAATTTTAGAACTTAACTTTTTGTATTATTCCTAGAAAAGACATTGTTCCTTAAAAAATAATTCTATTAAACTTTATCAAATTTATACAATTTTAATTAAATAAATTATTTAATATTAAAAATTTTACCAATTAAATCGAAAACGTACATGTCACAATAATAAAAATTCATTTTTAAATCAACTGGAGATTATTGAAAACGTGGTACACTCTATTCCTGGATTGACTTTCTTTGAAGAATATTATATCCATATTTCTCACAAGACCTTCTTCTTGGAATTATTTATGAGAGACGAGATGAGATGAGATGAGATGAGATGAAATATGAGCGTTTACACGGACGAATATTATTACGTAAAATTACAACTTATGTTGCATCATGTCGACATGCAAGCGCAAGGGTTTAACCGATTCGTTCAATCGACATAGCTACAATCACAAGACTTATAGTCGCAGACGACATTTTAGAATGTCGATTATATTTATCAAGTTTCACTTTTCATCATCAATTTTATTTATCGTTAAAATAATCCCTTCATTTTCCTGACTTTTCTCAATAATTTCTAAATTTAATAAACTCTTAGTTGGAACTTAAGTGGAGAACTAAAGACTAAAACACAAAGCGAAGAAATGGAGCTCACCTGTGTCTGCAAAAGCAGCATGCTTGATGCCACTGTGAGGGCGGTCGTAGTCGTGGTGATGGACGATTGATTAGTGCAGGCGAGAACCGGAACGGTAGCGGTCGCTTGACGTTGCTGCTGTCGTTGGCGATGTAGTTGTTGCTGTTGCTGCTGTTCTACCTCGCTACGAGTAACAGCCACCGCACGCTGGCTACCGTTACTGTTGTCGCTGTCGCCGTTCGGCGAATGCAGTTGCCCTGCAACATCCAAATAGATATTTTCGGTTATTATATTTTACTTTTAGGCGATATTAATCGATATCATTTAAGCTAAATTAAAATAAAAAATATAATACAATATAATATAATACAAATATAAAATAAGAATAGACATAAAAATATCTTTTTGAGAAGAAAATGTAATATTATTTAAAGAATTCCACTTATTAGAATAGTAAAATAAGATTTTATTCGAGAAAAATAATTTTATATATTATTATTAATATTCAATTGTTATTAATATTTATTCGATATTAATACTTCTTTTAACCCATTTAAATATATGAGAGGCAAGATGTACAATATATGACACATATTAATAAGAGATGTGATAAATGAAGCGCGCGTGCTGTTTATCATTAACAAATATGGAGTATGAACTAACGTTATTCATCACGCGCGAAGAGGCAAAAATGGATCGCAACCTCATTTCTGTGCGGAAAAACTTTCTGATATGTCAATTTCAAACGATACGACGAGAGGACGCAGTGAGACACTTTTTCTATCGCAAGAACGCGGTTAATATTGATGTTTAGCATTCTACGTGATATACTGCACTTCCGATGCACAGTAAAAGAGCGACGTGTTAAGTGCAACTCGGTCAGTCTCCGACGTTTAAATCTCCATACTTTGAAATAGATTCCATATTATTATTAAATGAAAAAATTATTTCTTACAAAAAATGGAACATAATTGTTAATAATTCTTTTCTCAATTTTTATAACATGATAAGATGTCCAACTCTTAATATAAAAATTTTATTTTTGCAAATTTCAAATATTCCAAACATGTCATTTATATAATCAATATTAAAATATAGTTTCAACATCTTTGAAAAAATGACCGATTTACTATTTAAAGAATACATACAGTATCTACGATATTGGGAATGTGCATCATCCATGGCGATCATGTCTATATTATCACGACTTAGAAAATTATATTATTACAATGACGAACAATGACGGACTTATATTATTTTTAAGTTAACTCTTCTAAAATTTAATGACCAGTTAGAGCAAGGCTAACGACACTCGTCAATGAGAGAACTTTCCGAAATCACTTTCACATTCGGTCAAGAGACTCGCGGATGGATCTTGTTAATCGAATCCTCGTCGTCGACTGAGCACTTGAACGTCGCCGGAACGTCATATATAGGGTGGTCGTAAACACCCCGGGGAGACATGAAATCACTGGCATTTAAAATACTACAACCCCGTTCTATACAAATAACCGCGCGTCCCTTCCCTTCTTATATTATTATTACACGATATTATCCCCTGACGACCAAGCGATAGACAGTCTCATACCAGCGACCACGTTTTTGCGAGAGAACATCGATATTACGTGGACAGGGCAGCTTTCTCCGCATAATTAATAATAATTAAAAGATCAGTAATTAAGGAATTAGCAATTCTATAAATCTCTCCTAAAAAATTTCTTCCATTATACTTTAATTTACATTTCTGTGTGTGAAGAACATCCAAATGTACAAGACAATTAATTTCTTTACTTATTAAATAATGCAATTCCTGGAGTTCCGCTCATCTTTATAGCTAATAAAGATGTATTTAACAATATAAACATTTTTACCCAATTAATAAACAATCTGATATCAACATATACTTAACCAAGCTAAAAAAAAGTTCACAGCAGTTCGTATTTAATTACAGTATACTGTACAACGATTCTCGTTTAAATCATCGATTTGATTATAAGGAATAACGGGAATAGTCAGCGAGAACATGATGATTTATCGATATTGGACCAGGAAGGGGTTCGATACGCGAGTAATCCGATACAATGACAGCCGGATGCAGAGCGTCCCGGCGCATCGAGATCCCACTCGTCGATAGTCACGGGCGTCGAAGTCGCGTTCGATTTAATTTCACGATCGCACCGCGCCGAGGACCACCCACGGCGATCGCGAAACATCGGTCATAAGCGATTTCACTGTGACGCCAATCGATCCTGCGAGGGGTGTGCTGGAAGAAATTACGATTAGGCACAATAGACCGGCTGTAACGGCGAATTGAACGCGCGCGTGCGAGAGGAGGAACGAACTCATTGTCATCCGCGAAGCTATCATAAAGTGAACGAGGAAATCGGCGATGTCTTCCGTGATCGATGAAACATCAGCTACATCAGATATAACTCGGGAATTTCCATTAATTATCCCGCGCGAAGTGAAAATGTGCGATTATCGAGGAGGATTATTGAGAACAAATTTTTGAAATTATAGGAATTATATATGCATTACCATATTGAAAACCAGTTTTAGAAACATTTGCTAGCACTCTGTGGAAAATGTAAGTATGTGCGATAAACATACAGATTTCTCATTTTATTGCCTGACGCAAAATCTCATTATTGCACATTTGCATGCCGCATATAATATAATATAAGTGCAAATTATATAAAACACATTTACAATTTTCTAGATGAATCGTTACAGCAATTGTTTCAATGTTATTTAGCTTTTAAATTAATGTATAGAATTATTACATTCACAGATAACTATACATTTATATTTAGAGAGTTATTTCGAAAGGATTTATTACTAATTGATACATTTGTAAAAAAAATACAATAAAAATAAATTTTAGTTTAATAAAGTTTCTGTCAAAAAATAAAGCAATTCGATCAATTTAACATTCCTGATATTCGAAAGGATATCAAGAATGTTGGATTACTAATTGCATCGTAAACATTGATTCAATTAGCAAGACTACCTGCCAGGTCTTGATAGTCGCGTGCTTCGCAGAAATAAAAATACATTTATACGTTCTCGCTTTTATAAAATATAATGTTGTTATCGCTACGCAATAAATTAGCCGATACCAAGAGACCGTCAACCCGTAACGCAGTACGTTACAGTTACAGTTAATTGAACACCGTTGTATACCTTGTTTGCAGTTATTTTTACGCGCGAAAATAGCATTTAATAATCCGCTCGAGAAGATAAAATCCGTAAAATCCGTAGTTTAAGATTGCATAAAAGCAAAATGTGCATTGCTCGTAATCTTATAAAATATAATGGAAGTAAGCAAGTACATCGTAAAAGATGCACTAACTAAATACAACTACAATATAAATAACTATAATTACTAAAAAAAAATTAAAGAATGTTACAGATTTTGCCATAGAACGACTAAAATAATAATAACGATACTAATACAATAACAATTAATAATGTTAATTATCAGTCATTAATTTCTTAATACATCAATTCTATTGCTATCACTGCAAAATTAGATATGCCGAATCTTCGATTCACTCAATTTCGCAAATTCGTAGCAAAAATATAATAAAAAAAATCAAAAGTATATTAGGAATTCGCAACTTTGCTTTAAATTTGAAATTTGAAAATTCCAAAAGAGCTTTCTCGTCTCGATTCGTGGAACGCATAACGGACCGAAAACGCAACCCGCAGCTGCGGTGCACAAGAACGATGCGGAAGAACGTAAAGACGACGACGTCGTCTAACGTGCGCGGCAGCGCCGTAGGCAGGGGTGAACGGGTGCGGAGGCAGAGAGGCAGAGAGCAGAGTAGGGTGGCGAACGGCCGAGAGAAAAGAGTAGGGTTTAGCAGAACAGCGTGTGCCAAGTGGATTGCAGCGATCTGGTGTGCAGGGCCCTCCCACGAACCACGCCTCTCCACGTGCCACCACGTGCACGTTCGCTCGCTCGCTCGCTCGCTCGCTCGCCTTGTTGGCTCTCCTCGCTCCGACGCGCTCGCGACTTCTACCCGTGCAACGCGCGTCTCACTTTTCCGTTCTTCCGTTTTCTCGTTTCTGTGTTTCCTTGTTCCCGGTCCTTCCACTTCTCTCATCTCTTGCCTTCACTGAGAAAGCGATGACGAATCTGCGCGTAGACGATTTCCCCATTGTTTCGCATATGAATATCGAATATAATTCAAATGTATTATCTTGATGAAGAATTTGATATAAAATCTAATTAATTATCCTCGAAAAAGCAAGCAAGTACATAAATCCGAAATAATTATTACATAATATTTATAACGATTAATATATCGCATTAGACAAAGGGAAAGTATTTTTTATGTTATAAATAATAAGATTGAACAAAAGTATTGTACCTCTTATAAATTAATTATTAAATATTTGTTAATTCTAGATAAAGTAAAATTCTTTGAAATATATTGCAATTTTGAAATAAGATGTAATCATGCGACGATATGTCTTATATTAGAGGCACTCCGGTGACTTCAACGCGCGCATGAGAAATAACATGCGGATATCTCGCGAATCTCTATACCTAGCACGATCGATAAAGCCAAATATGATAAAATAAACTGAAAAATTTATTAACAATGGATTTGTGCAATATATTTCGAGCTAAGCACTATAGACTTTCTCCAATCGACCGCGAGTGGAAGAAACCCGCACAAACGCATGTTTCACACGTGCATAGATTTAGATAAATCTTACTTATAACACAAAATTATATCTATGTATGTTGTAACATGTGAATAGAATGGATAGGCGAGGAAGATGGGAGTGAGGAAGACAGAAAAGCCATATTGTTGAAGATTGCTAAATAAGAGAATCAGTTGTTGCTGTAGGAATCGCGGGTATAACTCCACTTTGCGCTTATGTAGCTACGAGGATAATTTCATCCTTAGAATGATTCTAGTTGCCATAACTGGTAAATTACCGTGGAACGGATTATCTTTAAAAGCGATGCGGAGTGCGTCTTAAGCGCCGCGAATTGCACGGCGAAGAGAAAGGCATATTGTTGCTGATCATCAAATAACTCCCGGGAGATTCACCTATTATGCAAATCATCCGGACAATTCTACATGAGCTTACAACGCTTCAAAGATTACAATCGGTTTTTCCGTCATTAACGATTAGTTCTCGATCGATGTGCATCGGCCGTCAGGAGAATGTCCGCAGGAGGAATGTGCGCGTCCTTCTCTCAATCGTCGCGATAGAAAAAAGTATGCAATCATTACAG